TGGTACAGTAGGCCAGAAGTGGCTGCAGTACAGGGACTTAGTCCCACCCCAATAAGAATAGTAATAAAAAAAAGGCTTATGTCTCTGTTCTTACTATCGTTATGTCGTCCTGTATAGATAGCAGCTTTGCGAAGGGCCGATCCCCCCATCCGAGGAGGCCTACCGAATGTGTAAGGGATTCATTACTTTCAGAATTCAATTCTGAACTTGCACAGTACAGAGGGTCTAATCGTAAGGATAAAAGCAAGAATAAGAGGAAGTCATCCAGTGATAACTTAACTTATTCATCTCAGACTGTTGAGCTTTGAATCGTAAGATGAATAATGAATGAATTGTAATGGATTTGGAAGGATGCTGTCCTGGCCCAATTGAAGGAATATCACAGGCATTTTCATAAAGTGGCTGTCTCGGCCAAGTTTCGAACCAAGCACCTCCACAATACAAGTGAGAATAAGTTACTGATCGGTCCAATTAGCTCAGTAACTTTACTTAGTGGCTGGGAGGAAGAAGAAACTACAAGGTGGCCCAGATCTCAGTTAACTGGTTAGTAAAATGTACACTAAAAATACGTTAAAAATTGATTTATTACTTAATGAATTAAAAAAGAAAACACTGTTTGAAGTAAGGGCACAACTCACAGCGCTGTGTTGCCGTTCTACAAACTGACTTCATTGTTTAAATCTGAACATTCCCGTTATTACGAGATAACGTGTTAGGTTAACTTATGGGGCCTTCCTGTATATGTCGAAATGCAACTGTCATTGTTAATCCCAATTGTAACTTTTATGAGAATTTACCACGTACTGTATGTTACGTGTGAAGTGTGATATTCTCTGTGATAATGGACACACAGGCACTTCAAGTGAAATATTATTCACGGGTATCTAGGTTATTCAGAGATCGACATCCTGTCTCATTTATGATTTGACACTTCGCAGAACCGCAATATGTCTACCGCGTTGCTCCGTGCGTAGGAGTAATTGGGCTGACGTGTTATTTTCCCGATACTCGCTGAACGGCCGGAAGAGACATCGCTCTATTTCGTCAGTGCGTACAAAACATTCAACTCCCACTTGCGACAGTGGCGCCAAGCGGTGCAAAGGCCAAGTGTTCACCTGTCAGCTGTTCTTGAGTGTGTGTGTGTGTGTGTGTTCAATAAGATCCAGGTATATCTCTATTAATTGTTGCTACAATCACGTAGCTGAGTTGGTTATATTACAGATTAAATGTTTATTATAGTTTCTGCATAATTATACAATTATATTTGTTGACATAGTCGATACAGTGACCGTGCTTATCGATTTCATGTTCCTACGCATGCGTACATCAAGGAACGAGTCATAAAGCGGCAGTTTTACTGGTAAAAAGGGTATAAGTTATTAAAAACGATCTGCATGTGACACAAGGAAGTGATTTGTTTTCACTTTGCGCTTACGTCTCATGTATATTCTTTAATTTGTTTGGTCAGTGACCTGGCTAGAAGTTGCAGGTTATGTGCGTGAGGAGTACGGCGAGTTTGCTTTCTGTATATGACAGTTGTGCTTGGCATGGATGCAGGGTGAGGAGAAAGTGGACTAAGCTGGTCTGCTATACAGTGATATCTCTGCCTCATACTTAAAGTCTTCGGAACTTCCGGATTTGACGATCCCATTAGACTTAAGCTCAGAATTTTCGGATTTCGAATTGGAAACTCCAATTTGGACCTACGGCATTTTATAATTCTCTTATGACATTCTTAATGATTCATGGTGAAGTATTGACTCGGTTTAAATGTTTGATACTGATGTTACTTAATGTCTCTTTATTGATGTAATAAAAGTGGTAGAATCATAAGGTATTAGGGGGTAAAAATGTCAAGAAATGGGCCTGAGCTTTGAGCACTGGGAACAATTCTATACCCCCCATATTATGATGAACTCGACTTACGACCCTTTTCTGGGTACGCATGAAGTCGCAAGGCCGAGGTATGACCCTACATGCCACGTGCATCAACACAAAAACTTCGCAGTCTGCCCACACAGTGTATTTATGTGTTCCGTATGGTTCTCACAGTAAACAGCGATTGTTTCCCTAAACAGCATTAACCGGTTGGGCGTTGCTATGGAGACGGAGTGTGTTTACTGTGAGGTACGGACTTCAAGATACTAAAACTCTGCATTCTGCCCACACAGTGTATTTATGTGTTCCGTATGGTTCTCACAGTAAACAGCGATTGTTTCCCTAACAGCATTAACCGGTTGGGCGTTGCTATGGAGACCGATGGTGGTTCCTCTGAGTGGGTAAATATGTTTCCTGGATTTGGCGACTAAGTAAGTCTGAAGTTCCGAATCCGTAAGGAAGTAAAGTGTGGTTATGGTTCCCGTGGGGCTCGGAACCAAGGATCACTGTACTGGCAACCAGCAGCAAATTAGCAGTCAGCCAGTCATTCGGTCAGACTGGCTGGCTAAACTAAGAGAACCCCAGTAGAGGTCGAAGAGGAAGCCCCGTTTCAAATCACGTTAACGTCTGGCACGAACAAAAATATGGTCTTGGGTCCAGACGCGGTCCGAAACCAACAGTGACTGTACTTGCGAGGGCCAGCAGCAATTTACTGAAGTGTACAACGTAAGAGAGGGAAGTTGCATTACTCCAGAGTCGTTAGATATGAAATATGGTCATGAGTCCTGTAGGAACCAAGAATGACTGAGCTGGCGAGGGCCCGCAGCAGTTTACCTCACTGACTGACGAAGCGATTTGTGTGAATTGAACGTATGCGAAAGTGGTACCAGCGGCAGGTTGATCACGATCCAACTTTTGGAACTACGAGTGTTTGAGTGGGTAATGTAGTTGTCTGTTTCAACCGACAGTGACATTGCTTACTGAACACAAGCTGACAAATTGTTTACGTGTTCAGGGACGAAACAAATTTTTGTGTACACAACTGGTTCTCAAAGTTCGTGATACGCAGAATGTTTCAGTGCGTTATCAATTAAACCTGAAGATATATTTACAGACCCCAGTTCTATTCATAATACAATAGACCCTCGCTAATCCGGTTGCAGCCAATTCGGATGTCGGATAATCCGGATCGAAATATGAAAAATGAAAATTATATTCACAGTTTAGTATATATTTTAAAAGGTGCATGGGATTTAGGAGCAAGAGGACTTTCAGACCATGTTGAGGGCAGCTGGAGAGACTGAAACCACTCAAGAAAATATCCAAGATTGGCTTGAGCTGGGTGAAGGAGACCCTGAATTTCAGCTTCTGACAAAGGAATAAATTGCTGCAGTTAAATTTATTTTCATCAGCATTATCTGTATTATTAAATTTTCCTATTATTTTCTTTTAGGACTATTTTTGATTCATTGATCCAGATTACTGCCCCTCCCAAAAAAAATTAATCCGAATTAACCAGGGTTTACTGTAGTGGTTTAGTCAACCCTTTGAACCTGAATCAGTCTCAGCCACTTTACAGCTGACGAGTCGTCAGCTAGTCTGTTGTGGCATCGAGGGCCCCATTGAGGCTCATGATTCGGATTTTTATTCACAAAATAGGACCATCGTCCTGGTAAGCCTTTTATGATGAGAAATATCCGTCTTTTATCGTTGTCTTCATGGAGTGTTCATCTTGTGACGTGTTTACTTGTACAAAAATATTGTTCCTATTTTTACACGTTTACAAAGAAGCTGAACAGGTCTGTGTCTCCCCAGGGTTTGCTCAGTTCACTATCTTACTTACCTTGAAACTTATATAAATATTATTTCCCACAGGAAAAACGTCTCCATGACAACTACGAACCGGTTGATGTTGTAAATTATGAAAATCTTACGAAACACCAACGTACGTTGTATGGTCAATACGTAAGAGATCTTGCTGATCCCACCGAGGAGTGACTGAGGAGGAGTGAGCAACAGCAGAGTTACTCCGCAGTAAGGGGGGGGGGGAACCAGTAGCAGTCAGACCCCTCCTCCCATCGAAGATGAGGCCCCATTTTGAAACACATAAAAGTCTGGAAAGAATAAAAATAGACGGGACCCTATGCCGAGAACGATCGTGCATTAAAACAGCATTAACCGGTTGGGCGTTGTCATGGAGACAGAGTGTTCCCTGTAAGGTACGGACTTCAGGATACTAAAACTCTGCATTCTGCCCACACAGTGTATTTGTGTGTTCCGTATGGCTCTCACAGTAAACGGCGATTATTTCCCTAAACAGCATTAACCGATTGATTGTTGCTGTGGAGACGGAGTGTGTTTCCTGTGAGGTACGGACTTCAAGATACTAAAACTCTGCATTCTGCCCACACAGTGTATTTGTGTGTTCCGTATGGTTCTCACAGTAAACAGCGATTATTTCCCTAAACAGCATTAACCGGTTGGGCGTTGTTATGGAGACGGATTGTGTTTCCTGTGAGGTACGGACTTCAATATACTAAAACTGTGCATTCTGCCCACTAGCCGTTTGGTCGTTGTCATGGAGTGTGGAGCTGTACCTCCATCTCTCCATATGTTTTCATGGCGTGANAGACGGGGTGTTTCCTGTGAGGTACGGGCTTCAAGACACTAAAACTTTGCATTCTGCCCAGTAACCGTTTGGTCGTTGTCATGAAGTGTGGAGCTGTACCTCCATATCTCCATATGTTTTCATGGCGTGGCACATTACTAAGAAGAGGGACAAGTTTGCCTTCATATTCCGGGTGTCGGCTGTTCGTTATGTTGGAGCATTCGTCATTGGTTCGAGTTACTGTTGATGTCTTTCTTTGCTGTTAGAACATTGATAATCTTCAGTAAGGGCCAGCTTGTTAAGTAATGGAGAAATAAAGTAAAAGTTGTAGAGCCCAAATTTAGGTGTCTGGAAGATGCACAGAATGATTTACGGTAGCTCAAATTGAAGATGTGGAGGCAAAAAGGCAAGTAAGAGAAGAGAAGATTTGGAGCCTGTTGAAAGGGAGGCGAAGGTTTTCAGAGTACCGTACAGCCAAGGAACAAGTAAGGATTGTGTTGCTTTGGTGTTCCAGAATGGGCAGCTTCACGTCTGCGCCCAAGATCCTGAATGAGGATACGCAGGATGGGGACGTGGACCTGCCTCCGCGCATGAGCAGAGACGAGCTGATGCAGCATTGCCACCAGCAGCTGGGGAATCTGCCACCCCTCGTGAAGCGGTCTTTCAGGCGCCTCCAGGGGCAGTCCGGGGACACACCGGATGGTGTCCGTGTTTTGCAGTGGAATGTCCTGTCCAGAGGTACCCTTCTTGCAATCTTGTACAATATCAGGTTGATTCAAAAAGCGTTTACACGTACATGTAGTTTATACAGGGTGATTCAAGGAACATTTGCATTTGCGTGAAGTTTAACAAGAAATGTTTCTTTGCAGTTTGTGGTGAAGCTGTGTCTAGTCCATGCCACGTCCGAGTGTTACAGTGGAATGTCCTCTCACAAGGTGCGTATATGTGGCTATGGCGGTAACTGTGGGGGGCCGAAGTCCAAGTGATATTTATAATTCAAACTATCCGCCGATGTTAGTGTGAAATCCGTCATGTATGTATATGAAGGGTAAATAAATGCATACAATACATTTTATGTACCCTTAATGCCTTAGGGCAACTAATTGCCATGTCGGTCAAAATGGGATGATAATATTAAAATAGTTGTTGAAAATAATCGATGCGGTACCTTAAAGCTGTTTATGTCAGGTTGTGAGATCTGGGGTCCTCATGGCGGAGAGTATGAGGAGTACTACCGTCTGGAATGGTGATACCGTGTAGTCTGGTAAAGTTTACTGATGTTTAGCGAGTGGCTTGGTATAAGGGCAACCATCTTGACTTATATCCGGAGGTACTGGATTCGAATCTCTGCCGGGACATCCGGGCAAATTCCTGGATAATACCATGATTAGGGCGCGAACGCTTCCTTCCCAATCCTTTTCAATTCATCATTCATGTACCATCATAGCGTTCAGCGCTGTGTAATCTGAGATATTGATATCGCGTTGTTAAATGATCCACAAGAAGTAACCGATGTTTCGGAGGTAGTGCGTTCCTCCGAAATGTCAGTAAACTATTACCAGACTACANCGTTCAGCGCTGTGTAATCTGAGATATTGATATCGCGTTGTTAAATAAATAAATAAATGTGGCGTCACATATCACAGAGTAATAATGCTTATGTTGTGTCCTTTCACAGCGCTGGGACAGATGAACGATAACTTCGTCTGCTGCCCGGATGAGGCGCTAGAATGGAGGTCCAGACGCTACCACATCATAGAAGAGATCGTGGAATACTGTCCGGACGTCATATGTCTCCAGGTGCGCTCTCTCAAGAAACACCCTCTAGAATTTGTAGGATGTAGACCAAATTCGTCCATATTCCTGTTTCAAACCCTCGTGTTACCGGTGTAAAACAAACCATAGTAAAGAAAGCAGTCTTCTGGGATTTGGCACCGTGTATATGTGGTGTTAACCGACGTTTCGGAGGAACGTATCGCCTCCATCTTCAGGGTAGAAGGAAAAATATAAGAAATCAGCAAGCGAAGAGACCGTGAGAACCGGACCGGTTCCAAATCCCAGAAGATTGCTTTCTTCATAGTCACCGCCGTGAAAGCCTCAAATCTTACAAACCGTAATAAGCTTAATTTCCTAGAGGTTTTAATAGGAAAGTCTAATTCACTTAATCTTCATGTTCCTTCATCCCAATAAACATGTTCTCGCTTTTATTGCATCGATGTGTATTTAAGCTTTACATTATGTGGTGCTCAAACAAGACTTCAGAAAGCCCTTCGCTTTGTTTCAACACATTCAGTAAGGGATCCAACTTAATAACTGTAGCATTGGTCTCTGACCTTAAGGCTGGGGCCACATGAGCGCACAAAATGCGTCCGTTCTAACGAACGTACTTTGTGACGGACGTTGCTGAGGACACCACACAGTTGCAGAATGCGGTGCGTAGTTTTTTGTCTGCAGTGGAGCCAGAAGAAAGCGTAGCATTCGCCTCTCTTGTTTATTTCTACAACGGACGTCACGACGCTCGTCACAACGGACGCATTTTGTGTCCTCGTGTGGCCCCAGCCTAAGGGAGGAACATAGAACAAGGTGTTGAGGAGAATATTTGGACCGAAGAGAGATGAAGTGACAGGAGGTTGGAGGAAACTGCATAATGAGGAGCTTCATAACTTGTACTCTTCTCCAAGTGTAATTAGAATGATCAAGTCAAGAAGGATGAAGTGGACAGGCCATGTAGCACGAAAAGGAGTGCATATAGGATATTGGTGGGAGAGCCAGAAGGAAAGAGTCCACNCATGTGTTTCAACGTGAAAACAGGGCTCCCGTTACAGAATCCCGCGATGGGGGCGTGTTTCCAGGAACAGTGTCGTTGTGTCACGCGCGCTGAAGTTAGTGGCTGTACAACTGACACCAAGCATCGGTTTTTTCCCCGCAGGAGGTGGACCACTTCAACTTCCTGAAGACTGTCTTGGGCACGCAGGGGTACCGAGGCGCTTTCTTCCCAAAACCCGATTCTCCGTGTCTTTATATCAAGGGGAACAACGGCCCCGACGGATGCGCCATTTTCTTCAAGGAGGACAAGTTTGAGCTGCTGAAAGTAGAGACGCGAGTCCTCGAGGTCTGGCGCGTGCAGAGCAACCAGGTGAGTTGTGTCTGTGCAGTGTCCCCGCGCATGCGCAGCTGACGTGATAACTTAAAGCCATGGAGGGCCTTAGGGTTGTGAGACGTCGAGGCTCCCATATTTTCTAAGACATTCGGCTCACAGATGGCGGTGAGGTCAGCCCTACGCTTAGGCCGCCCTTTACTCCCAGGAATATTCCTGGTACTCATTTAGAGGCTGAGTCGACCCCAGGGCCATAGTGCGGCTGGAAGGATTAGATCCTTCTAAGAAATAGAACTATGTTCTATATGGCGTGAAACTTTGCTAGGAAAGGTATCTTCACAGAATGGGACGTATATGTCTGTTAATTTGTCGAAACGTCTGCGCTTATATGCCTGGCATTGTTTCGTGCGCATAGCATTTCATTATTAATGCAGTGAATGGAATGAAATACACAGATTCTCCGTAACGTTTCCTTGAATAGTTCTGTAAATTGCTAACAGGTTCGTTCAGCCTGCGCACGGCCGCTTGCGCGGTGGTTAACTGCTGAAGTGTTGCGTGTTGCAGGTTGCTGTGGTAATGTTGCTGCGAATACGGGAGACAAGTCAGGAGATCTGTGTGGCCACGACGCACCTAAAGGCGCGCACTGGAGCTCTGTTGTCTACACTGCGGAATGAACAGGGTAAAGACCTTCTGGACTTCGTGACGTCACACTATGGCGGTCGTCCCGTCATCATATGCGGAGATTTCAACGCGGAGCCCACCGAACCTGTGTACCTGACGCTTCTGAGCCACCAATCACTACGCATGGCAAGCGCCTACGCCACCACAGGGGACGTTTCGGACGCTGCGCCCAGAGAGCCCCCATACACTACGTGGAAGATACGGGAGGAGGGTGAAGTGTGCCATACCATTGATTACGTGTTCTACTCATTGGACAGTTTCTCTGTAGAAGCAGTTCTGGACTTCCCCACGGGAGAGGAGATCGGTGAGGGCAGAGTCCCCTCGTTTGGGTACCCTTCTGACCACTTCTCACTCGTGTGTGACTTCCGCTTAAAGAGTGCCTGTGAACTGGGCTCTTGAAGGCCTGAGTGGAACCTCAAGCCACTTTGCCTGCTTATGCGTTATACTGTAAAGAATGTTAACATGTTTGTACATATTTGTATACCTGATCAATAAATCTTGTTAATCAGTATACGGCTCTTGAATAGCTTACAGGTCACAGCTAGCCGACGGTCTGATGCTTTCGAAAAGCCTTCCAAAGAGCGCGCGGATGAAATTCCCGAGATCAGTCGTTGAAAAAGAATTTCTGGTTTTATAATAAACTGGATTACGGTCCATTGAAATTGCTAGCTTTTCGGTCTTATATCTCGCCGTCTGTGTGTGTGTATGTGTGTATGTATGTAAGGTAAAACTATCCCTTTAACAGGCCGTGGAGGCCAATAGGGTGTGAGACGTCGAGGCTCCCACATTTTCTAGACAGCCGGCTCACAGATGGCGGTGAAGTTGACGGCCTTCCGCGCCGGCCGCCCTTTACCCCCCAGGAAGATTCATGGTACTCATTTCTGTTAGAGGCTGAGTCGACCCCAGGGTCATAGTGAGGCTGGAAGGATTAGGTCAATTGAAAAATCCAGTGACTTCGTCGGGAATATATATATATATATGCAGGTGCAATAAAATTTGTCCGCTATTTCACTTAAGGTATAATAAACCATGCATTTATACAAAGAAACTCTTAATAAATTTTATTTTCGATTACATTATTAAAACTGGTCTTAGATATAAAGATAACCGTTTTGAGTTCATGGTCAGTTTTCAAAATAAAGCAGTATGGGATCGTAATTAGAATTGTCTCTTTTAAAGCACAATTTAATGATAACTTGTTACAAAGTTAGGAAAAATTACGTATAAGGGGTTCATTATGCTGCCTGCAGCACACCTGAAGTGATAATATATGTATATAAAATATATTTAAGGATGAATTCGCGATGTCTTTAATCAGGATGGAACTGAAGCCGAGCAGGTTGGCGCAGCGGTAGCACTGAAATTCGCTTAACAGAAGCACACTATCTAGGAAACTAATTGCAGGCCAAGTAACAGTTGACATGGCGGTGAAGTCTGTCTCAAAGGCGCGGGTCGATAACAACTCTGAATTCCCTTACGGAGATGCTATCCAGAAAATTCAATGCACGTGATCTGCAACCTCAAGTGTTGCGTCTACTCCTTCGGGAGGCGTCGTAGTTTCCATGTAGAACACACGGGCGTCGCAAGGATGGTTTTCAGAAAGGGAAACCAGCTTTAAAAGGGAGTAGACGTTTAAGTTTTTAAAACTAATATTACTGACCACTCTGTAGTATTCACGATAGAAGAATATATTTTATATAAAAATAATCTCAGCATTTAATATTAGTATTTAGTACGTTTAATTCTTTTCAAAAATCCATGTGGGGGGGGGGGGCAGATTCCTGGCTTCCCCCACCAATCCTGTTGACGCCCATGTATACAAGTTCACAGCCAGAACACTTCTGCCACTGATTCTACGAATGTATTGCCGTATTATGATCGCGTGCTAAGTGTTATATGTTTGCTGTTTTAATATCTTTGACATCTGCTCTATTAGTTCGCGTATGGCGACAACAGATGGCAGGGGAGTATATTTTCCCTGCATAATGTTTCTTTGTAATGAAATGGGGACCACCAAGTATAACGTGTAGTGCTTAGAAACTTTATTTACTGGATTAAATATTCCTTAAATATTTCAGCCATACAGGACCATTTCCAGAGGCTTACGTGTAATAGACGAGATTGCGCAGTGTGCACCAATTTCTATCAGTAATATTTATATTTAAATCCCTGTATAACTGAAAGCGTATGTATGAACTTCCAGTGGACTGCGAAATTTTGCAGATATCCTAGCCCATACTGTTGATTCTTTCCTCAGTAGATTTCGTGCTGAACATGATGTTGAATTTTTGTTTCATTGTGTGTCCATCCCTTGCCATGGTGTGCGGTGTGCGGTGTCTGGCGTGGTAAGCAGTCCATCAACAATTTATACAGAAACAAAGATTCTCTACGCTTTCAATTATAAAGGGACTTACTTACTTACGGGGCTGAGCCCTTCTTGAGGAGCCGCCAATTCTGCAGCTACTCAAGAATTTCCCAGCATTTTATGGAACCCGAAGGTTCATTACCGTGTTCACAAGAGCCCTTCACAGTTCCTATCCTGAGCCAGATCAATCCAATCCATCCCATCCTATCTCTCTAAGATCCCTTTTAATATTGTCCACACACCTACGACTCGGTCTTCCCAGTGGCCCCTTTCCTTCTGGCATTCCCGCCAATATCCTATATGTATTCCTCTTCTCCACCATTCGTGCTACATGCCCTGCCCACCTCATCTTCCTTGAAATTATAAAGGGACTTAAATATAAATATTATCCCTGCGCTTAATCAGTTAATCGCCACGCTCTGAAGACGTGTGGGGGAGTGGAGATATAGCTCCTCTATTCTTGACCTCGGTACTAGATGGAGGTGAATTCTCAGCTTCACGCCCCGGCCGCTCTACCCTAAAGGAAAAAGGCTTGGCGGGCTCCAGGGCCGGTCTGGACGCTGTGGAGTGGAGAGAAATCTCGTTCCCTTGCCGGGAATCGAACGACGGCCGTCCAGCTCGTCACTATACCGACAAAAGCATTGCGATTTCAAAACGTAAACATTACTGCTAGAAATTATATGCTAAGGGATGTCCCTTTTAACACGTAAGCCTCTGCTGATGGCCCTATAGGGCCGATACATGTGATCCGACAAGTTAAAGTTTCCAACTAATACTTGTTATAGTTTATGGTTCTTATATTATTGCATAATCACTATGAAGTTTAACGGTTGGGATGTCTCATAAAAAAATGTTTTTTTTTTATTTTCGCGCAAATTAAATTGCGAAATAAAAACGGACTTGAAAACATACAACAAAATTCACCTACACAGCACGAATTTAGACGTGGAATATGCTGAAGTTAACTTCCGGTCTAATAATTTAAGGCTGCTAGTTCTTGCGCGTGAGCTAGGACGCTCTGCCTATAGAAACGAGTGGACGATGTTGGCTATGCTGACATATGTTCCGATAACGAGTCCCAGAATGCCACACACAATCAGCAGAATATCCTTGACAAGAATCCAGTAAAAACGGCCGTAGCTCTTGGAAGGCCAGAGTAGACACAGTTCCACAGTAGCGGGGAAGGCGATACCAAGGGCCGACAAGCACAGGGCCCCAAAAAGGGAAATGAACAGCTCCAGACGGGGTATTGCCACAGCCAGCAGAACTTAAACAGAGGATTTCATTGTCACGTCGCTTTAAAGCTGATCGGTAACAATATATATATCCTCCCTCAATGTTAATAATCTCTGCATTTTGCCCACACAATGTGTTTGTGTTCTCACGATGGTTACTTCTCTCTCTTTCCAGTTGCTCCCACTTTGGAGCATAGAGCTGATTTCTCGGGTTCGTTGATCATTTTTACAGAGGGTAGGGACTCCTTGGACGTGTGATCAGCTCGTCTCAAGGCCTCTACCTGTTCACAGGACTACACAAACACAGAATAAACTCATACACACAACAAAAATCCATGTCTTGTGTGGGATTCGAACCCACGATCCCGGCTTCCGAGCGAGCGAAGACAGTTCATGCCTTAGACCGCTTGGCTACTGTGAGCGGCAGTGTATAAGAATAATATATAAGAATTCAGTTCGTACCTCACAGGAAACAGATCCCGGCTTCCGAGCGAGCCAAGACAGTTCATGCCTTAGACACCTCGGCTACCGTGAGCGGCACGGTGGCTATTGGGTTCCAGAAACACAACGTTTCGGAAACTAGTTCTATGTCCTTCTTCAGGTAGAATGGTTATTGACTTGGAGATATTTTTAACGGCACTGGTAAAGCGATGGGACAAGTGTATCAATGTTGGTGAAGGATATATCGAGAAATATGTTTCTGCCAAGTTCGAATATCGCATGTTTTGTGTTTTATCTCCATTTGTAACGTATTTACTGACCCTCCCTCGTAACACCGTATAGTCCGTTGAAAGTCAGACTACATAGCGTTATATCTCAGAATGTATAATCCTTCATAACAACCGGTGTCAGAACCTAAACCCCTTTTATTTAAGTTGCACAGTTTATAGTACTCACAGGTTCCTATGACGATGCACGTTCTCATGAGGTACTCAACCAGCAGCTTCTTCGTGCTGGAGGCCTGCCCCAGCCTGTCCTTGATGTACGTGCTCCACACAATCTCGAGGGGCACGTAACACTGCAGCGCGTACGTGATAAATATTGCAATGGCGAACATGATCTTCACGCTCTGGGCCAACCTGCATCAAGCAAGTTCAAAATATCAGCCCGTTGGCTGTAGCGGGGAGGATATTAAGTGATTTCACTTTGAATTGTTCCGCCCTCACAATATTGCTTGAACCAGCTGACGCACAGTATAAACCTACCTGATTTCATGGATCGTTTTATGTTAGAAAATAAAATATTGGAGTCAATGCTGCTTATACTCGTATTCGAGTCAATGTTGCTTATATTCTAGTCATTCCTACTCATATGCGACTCGATACTGCTTATATTCGAGTCAGTATGCTTATATTCGAGTCAATGCTGCTTATATTCTAGTCATTCCTACTCATATGCGACTCGATACTGCTTATATTCGAGTCAGTATGCTTATATTCGAGTCAATGCTGCTTATATTCTAGTCATTCCTACTCATATTCGACTCGATACTGCTTGTATTCGAGTCATGATTGCTCACATTCGAGTGAGTCCTTACTTCTGATCGGTCGGCAAGTTGAGCGTGATGCTGCCCGCTGCCGCCTCCCCGTACTTCACGTAGCCCACGAAGCCGACGAACACGTACATAAAGACGATGGTGACCATGCCGCGGTTGAAGACGCCACAGTAGCCCCCGAAATCCACGGGGTTCTTCATGTTGTATTCCAGGGCGATGATCTGTGGACCGGATCACAAGGAATCGATAAACCGTGACAGAGAGCGGGGGTTCCTTCCTGTCTGTATCTCAGCGCATATAGGCCGATACTTCATTGATGAGTGGGAAAGGATGCAGAAGGAAGCGGTGTTTGTGCCATTTGCCTAGGGACACGAAGATACCCCAGTCAGGATAGCCGCCATAGGTTCGAACCGAGAACCACCCGACCATCCTGTTGTGTGAGAGAGAAAGATAGAGGAGAGGGTGCTGTAACGCTATATCGGCATGTAGGAATGTTTAATGTTAAGGCAAGAGGTAAAAATAGGTAAAGCTACCCCTGTAACAGGCCCTGAAGGCCCATGGGGTTGTGAGACGTCGAGGCTCCCACATTTTCTAGATAATCGGTTCATAGATGGCGGTGAGGTTGTCATCCTTACGCGCCGGCCACCCTTTACCCCTCAGGAATATTCCTGGTACTCATTTCTGTTAGAGGCTGAGTCGACCCCAAGGCCATAGTGCGGCTGGCAGTGTTAGGTCAATTGAAAAAGCCGATGATCTCTTCGGGAATCGAACCCGAGACCTTCCGGTTTGTAGCATAGTGCCTCAACCAACTACGCTACCGCGTGCCTACAAAGTTGTCCCTGTGCTAAATGAATTAAGCGCCATGACATGAAGACGTATGGGGAGTGGCCTCGACATGAGATGGAGGTGAGTGGTCAACTTCACGCCCCGGGAAATAGCGGCCGGTACACATTGGATAGGAAGCTGGTTGCTCCGCAGCTCTTCCTCCTGCCGGGAATCAAACCCTACACCGACTGAGCTATCCCGGCTACTAAGGCAGGAGGTGCGTGCAACAACTCAGCAAGTCACTCACAACTCCGACTGCCTCGAGGGCAAAGAGCGTGGTCCCGATGAAGAGGGGCAGGTCCACGACGTGGCCCACCATGTTGCGCTCTGACGGCGACGGAATGCCGTCAAACACGTAGTACAGGGTGATCCCCAAGCCCACGAAAGTGATGACGTTGGCAAATGAGGAGAACGGCGCGAGAAGCTTGAGGTTGCGCACCCAGTTGATGAGAATCAGTGGCAGCAGCAGCATCACCATGTAGAGCCTCACGTCCAGCTTCGTCTCATGGTATTCGTCCACCACCTGCGGCAGTAACGGGTGTCTCATAAAACTGGTCACTAAGAGAACAAGTCAGGTCACAATTAAGCAGTAGTAACGTAGCTATCGGTGCGGTCGTGTGGATAGCAATCCTGCTCTGTATTCAGGAAGTCCCGGGTTCAGATCTCGGCTCTGAGACCAACAATCCTGGCTGACGCTTTCAGTAGACAGTCCGTCCATGAAAGTTGCCACAACAAGCCCTCCTCTCACTGTTCATAGCATTCACACGCGACCCCCAGGTTCATAGAAAAAATCAATGGATCCACGTCCTCCTCTCCACCCCTACACCCCTGGAACATATAATTTTCTCAGGCTTCCTGTCACTCTCTCCATTATGCCCAAGCAGCCCCCTCAGCACCCTTAATCTATGTCCTTTCATATATGAGAGACCAAGTTTCACACCCATACAAAGAGACAGGTCAGATTAAAGTTCTGTGCACATTTATAGGCCCACACTTTGGACAGCCCCTGATTTAGACCGGCCTTCAAGTTGCGTGTGAATAAAAGTATGGTAAGTATTTGCGGGACAGTGGCTGCAGTTACATTGTGGGAGGAAGGATGCCGCTTTTTGACAAAGGCCATTTCATAACCCGTATTCACCCCCACCATCCCTAAACTCGACCAGCTCCACAGCACGTTCTGTTGAGGACGGACAGATCTAGAAACAGTTGACGCTAGGAGTTGTATTGTATGCGATATAACGCCGTGTAGTCTGTTGAGAGTAAACCGAAGTTTTGGAGGAATATGTCGCCCCCATCTTCAACGTCGAAGAATAAACAGAACTGTGCTCGCTACCTCGTTTCACTCTGGTTTCTTCGCTTGGCTTATTTCCCACCCTGAAGATGGAGGCGATATGTTCCTCCGAAACGGACTACACGGCGGTATATCCCAGAAGATAGAACTCTTAGAAACCACCGCTATGACAACCTCAAATTCTATAAGGAGACCTGGCCCTCCAAATTGGGGGAGTCTCGAATGTGAGACAGTAAAATGTGGTCATGAGTGCCGCGGGACTCGAACTTGAGAATGACTCCGCTGGCGAAGGCCAGCAGCACTTTTAAAAAACAGACCCATCCTCTCCTCAGAAAGGATGTTATGACTGCAAGTGTTCAGTTAAAGAAAAGCTGGTCGTGAGTCTCAAAGTGATTGTCGCCAAGACGAACTGATAGCCGGTAAACCTCTAGTCGTAAAGTAATTCTGACTTTGACTCAAATTCTGTAAGTGGTATACATTGTTACCAATGTGATACAAATGCTTCAGAATCATTTCGCTTACCTGTTTTATGTTCGTCGCAACGAAAACTATGTACACGCAGCAAATTCCCAGTTGGTACACAATGAGAAACGCGTTCACAGCCGTGCTGCAACAAGCGGAAACGATGCGAGAGTTAGACACGTCGCAGTGTGAACCCTGCTGCAATACCGGGGCGAGCACACGCTTTACCCTCCGTTAACCTGCTTAAACACTTGAAGCCTATGTCTGGCCGTGGTCATAGATCAGGCTGTAAGCCTCCAGCTTCACACCGCAGCGGTCCTTGTTCGAACCCATGTCAAGTAATGTGGGATTTGTGGTTGACAAAATACTTCTGTTTCCCCTGCCAATTCTCATTTCACCTACTGCTCCACATTGATCATCTATCATCCGGTGCTGGTTCAACAGGCCAGTTAGTGGCCGACGTACCAAGTGGACTCAGTCTCACCCCACCCCAACTAACGAAAGGCTACGTCTACTCACCCAGCATATGTGGAGAACCCCCTTAGGACGCGTGGTCCCTGCTTCATGGCCAGCTCCAGGGTGCGCGGGTAGCTGAGAATGGGCACCCGCAGTTGTCTGCACATCTGGTACTGAGACCGCACCTGCAACAGTCAGATAGTGTCTACTGGGAGGAGGTCATCCGGATTAGTGAAAAGTAGCCCTAAAAGACAAAAACACTTAAAACACAATTACTCAATTAATCTAAACCTTCCAGCCTCACTATGGCCGTGGGGTCCACTCAACCTCTAACAGAAATGAGTACCAGGAATCTTCCTGGGGGTAAAGGGCCGCCGGCGTGTAAAGCTAACAACGTCGCTGCCATCTGTGAGCCGATTGTCTAGAGAAAATGTGGGAGCCTCGACGTCTCACAACCCTACGGGCCTCTACGGCCTGTTACACGGATAGCTTTACCTTTCTTTTGCCTTTATTTAGAAACAATAGAGAGACAATACATTTACACATCGACAGAAGACTCAGAAGTTGTGCTTGTTTTTCAACGTTAACGTTGCAGGTTTGAAGAAACCGTCAAGTTTTGTCTCAGCAGGCAAGTGACTCATCTGCCTTCCTAAATGTCACGTGTCTTTTAAAGTGCGAGTATGTAGTGCTGATATGTAAAAAGCATTTTTCATATTTCGGTTCATGTTAATAGTAATCTGATTAGAGCGGGTCGGCTTTTCTGGCTTGCTTTGCGCTTCGCGCATGAAGGGTATAAAGCAATGTTCTGTCGGCCGCGCCATAGCTCAAGCGGTTAGTCACTGCCTTCCCACCGGGTCTGGTCAATTGGGATTTGTGGTGGACAAAGTGGCGCTGGGGTGGGTTTTCTCCGAGGAATTCTGTTTCCCCTACCAATTTTCATTCCATCAGACTAAAGAGAGATGAAGTGACAGGAGACTGGAGAAAACTGCATAATGAGGAGCTTCATAACTTGTACTCTTCCCCAAGTATAATTAGAATGATCGAGTCAAGGAGAATGAGGTGGGCAGGGCATATAGCACGAATGGTGGAGACCAGGAATGCGTATAGGATATTGGTGGGAAAGCCAGAAGGAAAGAGACAACTGGGAAGACCAAGACGTAGGTGGGTGGACAATATTACAATGGATCTTAGAGAGATGGAATGGGGTGGTGTGGACTGGATTGGTCTGGCTCAGGATGNTGGAGAAAACTGCATAATGAGGAGCTTCATAACTTGTACTCTTCCCCAAGTATAATTAGAATGATCGAGTCAAGGAGAATGAGGTGGGCAGGGCATATAGCACGAATGGTGGAGACCAGGAATGCGTATAGGATATTGGTGGGAAAGCCAGAAGGAAAGAGACAACTGGGAAGACCAAGACGTAGGTGGGTGGACAATATTACAATGGATCTTAGAGAGATAGAATGGGGTGGTGTGGACTGGATTGATCTGGCTCAGGATAGGGACCAGTGAAAGGCTCTTGTGAACGCTGTAATGAACCTCCGGGTTCCATAAGATGCTGGGAAATTCTTGAGTAGCTACAGATTTGGCTTCTCCTCAAGAAGTGCTCAGCTCCATAAGTAAGTAAGTTCTTTGTCCCTGTACTAGTCCTGTTTGTGAACTTACCAGAACATGTATGCAGATTCCGGAAGACAGTAACTGTGTTTGTGGACGTACCAGAAAATGTATGCAGATTCCGGAAGACAGTAACTGTGTTTGTGGACTTACCAGAACGTGTATGCAGCATCCAGAAGACAGTAACTGTGTTTGTGGACTTATGNCGGCTCTTGTGAACGCTGTAATGAACCTCCGGGTTCCATAAGATGCTGGGAAATTCTTGAGTAGCTACAGATGTGGCTTCTCCTCAAGAAGTGCTCAGCTCCATAAGTAAGTAAGTTCTTTGTCCCTGTACTAGTCCTGTTTATGAACTTACCAGAACATGTATGCAGATTCCGGAAGACAGTAACTGTGTTTGTGGACTTACCAGAACATGTATGCAGCATCCAGAAGACAGTAACTGTGTTTGTGGACTTACCAGAACATGTATGCAGATTCCGGAAGACAGTAACTGTGTTTGTGGACGTACCAGAAAATGTATGCAGATTCCGGAAGACAGTAACTGTGTTTGTGGACTTACCAGAACATGTATGCAGCATCCAGAAGACAGTAACTGTGTTTGTGGACTTACCAGAACATGTATGCAGATTCCGGAAGACAGTAACTGTGTTTGTGGACGTACCAGAACATGTATGCAGATTCCGGAAGACAGTAACTGTGTTTGTGGACTTACCAGAACATGTATGCAGCATCCAGAAGACAGTAACTGTGTTTGTGGACTTACCAGAACATGTATGCAGATTCCGGAAGACAGTAACTGTGTTTGTGGACGTACCAGAACATGTATGCAGATTCCAGAAGACAGTAACTGTGTTTGTGGACTTACCAGAACATGTATGCAGATTCCGGAAGACAGTAACTGTGTTTGTGGACGTACCAGAAAATGTATGCAGATTCCGGAAGACAGTAACTGTGTTTGTGGACTTACCAGAACGTGTATGCAGCATCCAGAAGACAGTAACTGTGTTTGTGGACTTATGAGAACATGTATGCAGATTCCGGAAGACAGTAACTGTGTTTGTGGACGTACCAGAACATGTATGCAGTATTCAGAAGACAGTGACTGTGTTTGTGGACTTACCAGAACATATATGCAGATTCCGGAAGACAGTAACTGTGTTTGTGGACGTACCAGAACATGTATGCAGATTCCGGAAGACAGTAACTGTGTTTGTGGACGTACCAGAACATGTATGCAGTATCCAGACGACAGTAACTGTGTTTGTGGACGTACCAGAACATGTATGCAGTATCCAGAAGACAGTAACTGTGTTTGTGGACTTACCAGAACATGTATGCAGTATGTACACAAGCTCCCAATCAGAATCGTCCCCACAAAGCCCACAATGAGACCCGCCTTGAAGAAAGCATTCGGCATGGCGAGAATCCCTGTGCCTAAACTGCCCTTCAGAAGGTGGATAAGGGTCTCCGTGTTCCTGCCAGATAAAGGGATTATTCACCCATTATCAGCCATCCTCTGCAGACGTTGATATTATCATAGCTGTGTCTACAAAGAGTACTATGTTCTGGAATGTGACGCCGTGTATTCCGGAAGAAGTTTACCGACGTTTCGGAGCAAAATACTTTTCCCATCTTCAGGTTTCAGCAAATGACGAACAATCAGAGCGAGCTGCGCTGAGAAATCATGGTTTAGATATAAGCTTGCTCTTTGGTATTTGCTTCCTTGGCGCATGACCTGAAGATGCAGTCAGTAAGTTTCTTCGAAACCTCTATGGGATTCTACCAGAATACACGGAGTCACATCTCAGAAGACCACTCACCGTGCAATTGTTCTGCACTTGCCAGGAATATTTGTAGGTCTGATAGGTTCTTCTCTTTTCGATGGTTTCTTTTGAAAAATAGTTTTAAAATGAAAGCAAAATGGTGAGGTATTACAAATCTGTCCTCCCATATTTCATTGCAATCAAATTTGATCATCTACATTCAACTTTGCTCGATAATTTTATATTACCCGTTCACGTGTGTCTGTCCTAGCTCAAGTCGTAACGCTTTTGATATGGAAGTGTCTAGTTCATATCTCGACTGGGATACCGAATATCCAGAGATTGTTCGTGGTTTTACTCAATACCTCCAGCCAAATTCCGGGATGAAACCTTAGATCAGGCGACAGCCGCTTCTCCCCGTGTCATTTCCGATACATACCTCACTGTGGTCTAACCATTCGATGCTATACAACTTGAGCCAGCGTCATTAAATAAACTGCGAAGAAGGAAATAGAAGAAACAGTCGCCTCATTGCGTGCCGAATTTAGGGCGACTCACTGCGAGACAAGTCGCATCACGAAATTGGGTGCTTCCACATTTCTTGCATGTTGCGCAATGTTAATGTACACAGGATACTCGACGTTTCGGAGAATTTCCCCGTCTCCATCATCAGGGATTGTTGTGAACTTACAGAAGAGAGAAATTTTGGGGGGATACCAAACAGTGGCCGGGTACGTTAGTTTCAAGCATGGAAGTTATCGGGAGCCTGAGCATTGCTCACTAGCCTGGGTGTTCGTGAACAAATTGTTACTGTGGGATATTGTCTTCGCTGTCCCAGCGCGTACCGCTGAGGGAACAATGGGTAGAAGTTAAATAGCCGACAGCAGTATACATAAATACGCGAGGACATAACATTAACCCTTTTCAACGCCTGATGATAGAGACAGGATGTCTCCGAAACGTAGGAAACTATCTCCGTTTTGACACTTGCGATCTCCCGAGATCGCTTCATTGGTTACTTTGTCACCTACGTTGTAGGGGTCTCGACGTTGCGGTGTAGGTGCGGGTTGTAGTCATCCAGGGGCTGCGACCCATCCAGGTAGTGAACTTGGGGCAGAGAAATCATGGCGCCCCCCGCAGCCGCCCCCTTGTGGTCCCCGTTCTCTTGCCGCGCTCTGCAGACAAAGAGACATGTTCGAACTGAGCTGGTGATTATGTCTTCTGGGAGTCGCGAAAGGGAGGAAAAGTGAACCCAGTGCCTGGGGGGTATAACTGGGCCACCCTGTCAGTGGAGGGCCTGGTTCTCCAGAATGGGGGTTGAGCGCAGAGCTGACTACTTGCTCTAAGGAAATTACTGCTGCAAAACCCGGACACAATCTGGCAGAACCTTCTGAGGAAGGCTGTGACTCAAAAGGACCAATGTTTTGCCAATGATGTTGATTATGATTTTTATTATTGGTGGCAACACGTTATTCAGGATAGAGGAATTCGTTTCAGAAACATTTCCAAATTTAATAATAATGCATATATTTTCTTCAATTTTTATATTATTTTTTTAAAAACCTATGGGGTGGGGGACAGGTACCTGGTGTCCCCCACCCCTGCCGAAGCCCATAACTTTCTGTAATGTGATGTGTGTAGTTTGGGGTGCAGGTACCAACTGCTCAACTTCGCGATCTCACACCTCAGAAGTCCGTAAGCTTCAAGGTTATGCTCCAGAGGTACCACTGATAACGTGAGTTTGCAGACCAAGCACTCACTTGCAAATGGCGCTGTACTCAGACGCCCTCCCCCGCGAATTATCAGCGTCCAGTTTCGTCATGTTTGTGTACTTTCTTTCAGCTCCTGGAAAAGAGAGACCCATCAGTGAACAATGAAGTCTGAAAACAATGGCGTTCTCTATAACATTTTGTCGCTCATGGTGACTATGTAGATTACATTGTTTTAGCTTCTGACGCCGTGTAGGGAGGAACAGTTTTATTTTACAACGCTCTTAGTATCCGGGGTACAGCTTCGATTTGCAGGATGATTGAGTAATTATGAATTGAAAAGTATTTGGAAGGAGAAGCGCCTAGTTCACTCATTTAGCTGCTAGAGGTTAGAAGTAAAAAAAAAAGGTAAAGCTATCCCTGTAACAGGCCGTGGTGGCCCATAGGGTTGTGAGACGTCGAGGCTCCCACATTTTCTCTAGACAATCGGCTCACAGATGGCGGTGAGGTGGTAGGACTTACACGCCGCCCGTATGGATTCGTTGCGCTGACCATGTGACACACTCTATCCACTAAAGTTGGCAATAACTTCGCGGACAAGCGACGGTCGCTCGATCGGTATAATTCGCTTGCAGATTGAAACCACCGATTTTTTTGTTTGGATCTTTTCCTAATTGAATTCTGTAACGACATCGCATTTTGATAAAGGACTTTGTTTCGAAAAAATACAAAGTACGCACATTGTTTTCTATGGAACAGTCGCCATTTTCTGTGGTATGACGTCATACTTTCTCCCAGACATCATGCGGCGAGTACATCTTTGCCAAATAAAACGTTTTTAGAATTGCATTTTCTTATTATGTAATCAGTTTCATTTTATTGTTTCCGCTTTTAAAATTATAGGCCACGGAAGCCTCGACAATAATTTAGAATCACCCTGTATAATCTTTGCACTCATGGAAGCCAGTCTAATTGATGGAAATGTCCCCTGTGTGGATCTGTCAGCGAGCCGCGGGAGGTCAAGTGGAACTAATGTTGGCAATGCTCTAACTACCTCATCCTGGATTCTATATTTCGAATTACGATTTAATGAGCCAACTCTCCGGCAGACGTCACTGCAGTAGGAGGAGGACAGAAGCGAACTGTCTGCGGTGTTATGTAAGCAGCAGTACAATGAAAAGTTGGTCAAAATTAGACAAGTGCTTCATGAAACTGTCCTTATTAAAAACGACAAAAAGTAAGCAGACCATACACAACAATTTCCATTCAGTGGCTCAATGAAACACTGAGTTAAGTACATTAACATTTTAAATTGTTTCTTCTTCTCCTGAAAAGTGACGTTTAGTGACTTAAGCCACTTTTCTGCATCACAGATGAGGTACTCATAGCTTTGTGTATGAAGGTTACTGTCTTGCATTATGTGACGCCGTGTAGTTTGATACTTATATGCCGCTCTTTGTGGAGGAACCTATTATCTGAATTTTCATAGTAGAAGACTGTTTCAGAGAATCCTACTACTTCCATCTTCAGGGTTGACAATTTTTTCTGTGGAACCTACTCTCTATATATTGAGGGTGCAATATTCTTTCGATGAATCCTGCTACTCCCATTTTCAAGGTAGAATATTTTTTCAGTGGAGCTCGCTCCTTACACATTCAGGCTCGAAGACTCATTCGGAAGGAAACTCCTGCTTCGCTATTCAGGATTTTTAACAACTGCAACTGATGGAGGTGAGTGGTTCTGATCTGTTTACTCTAACAAAAGAGCCCCCGGTACCCACTGGATAGAAGTTTCAGTGAGTTCCAGAACCAGTCTGGACGATATAAAGAAGAGAAATATCTGTTACCCCTGCAGGGAATCGAACCCCAGTTCCCATCATTCATCCAATAGCCTAGTCACTGTATGCACTGAGCTATCCCGGAGTTGCCTGGGGATTAAGTAATTAGTGGGGTGTGGAGTCCAGCTGGGTCCACTCGGCACGGCGGCCACTGATTGACCTATTGTACCTGCTCCGGGCGATTATGATGATGGATAATTTGGTGGAATGAAGATTGGGAGGGGAAACCGAAGTACTCGGAGAAAACCCGCCCCAGCGTAACTTTGTCCACCGCAAATCCCACTTGACCAAACCCGGGATCGAACCCGGGCCGTCGCGGTGGGAAGCCAGCGACTAACCGCTTGAGCTATGGCGCGGCCTTAGGGATTAAGTAGGCCCACTAACTCCATTTCTTCCCCTCCAGGATTTGCCAAGTGTACAGTCACTTTAGGCACAAAGTGTCTCACGGTTGCACTGCAGGATGTCGTCATTACAGCTGATGCATCTGACACTAGCCGGCGACCTGGCTCCGCGGCTTCTAACGGCATAATGGAGCATAGATTGGATTGCGCAACAGAGACGCTGACTACAGGATGTGCCAAAATATTCGTTTCTTCATTGCAGTACTGTGACAGTAAATCTGTACAATGGCGCCCTCGCAGATTTGCAAAGTTTTCATCGGACCTTCCTTCTTAATTTCATGCTTCTGTAAAGAACAGCTGTTGCAGGTTTTCATTTTGAAAAACAAAACATTTTAGATTTTATCAATTGGTAACCAATTTGGGGCGGCCGCGCCATAGCTCAAGCGGTTTCAAGAGGCTTTCCGCCTCGGCGGCCTGGGTTCGATCCCGGGTCTGGTCATGTAGGATTTGTGGTGGACATAGTGGCACTGGGGCGGATTTTCTCCGAGTACTTCGGTTTCCCCTGCCAATCTTCATTGCACCAAATTCTCCATCATCATAATCACCCGGGGCAGCTACAATAGGCCAATCAGTGGCCGCCGTCCCGAGTGGACCCAGTTGGACTTCACCCCCCACTAAGCGAATTTAAACAATATGGGGCTGTCGACGCTTGAAAAGACAACCACGTAGCAGATTTCTGTAACAATTGTTTATTGTTGCTAGAATGAATATACGGACAAGCTTCTTGCAACAACTAAAACACAGTCCCAATTTTCCAGTCTGCTCTGTCTTCATTAGCCGTTGCGTAGTAGTGCTTCGGACTATGGAAATCCCTCCGCTTCTGTACTGTGTTCTCGCCCAGTATCTTTCAGGCCTCCGGTTGACTCACGCTTTGTAAATTATGCGCTGACACGAAAGATTATAGAAATGCACAGAATTAAGCAATAGATCCGTGACATTTTGTGAATCATGATACATTAATTTTTACTACATAACTTTCTCAGAATATGTCATTCCCGCTCACGGGTCGGTGCCCCACACTTCCGAAATCACTGCCCTATAATCCATGTTACTTAATCTTTAATTAAACTAACTTCGAACACGCAAGAGATTATTAATATGATCTGTTCAACGCGAAAGGAAATTGAATTTGTGTATCCTGACATCCCTTAATTCGTCAATACAGTTACTTCAGTAACGTAACGGAAAGCTATCCCTGTAACAAGCCTTGGAGGTCCATAGTGTTGTGAGACATCGAGGCTCCCACATTTTGTAGATAATCGGCTCACAGATGGCGGTGAAGTTGTCAGCCTTAAGCGCCGGCAGCCCTTTACCTCAATATTCTTTATTTCTGTTAGACGCTGAGTCGACCCCGGGGCTATACTGCGGCAGGAAGGTCAATTGCAATACCAATGACCTCATCGGTAATCAAACCCGCTACCTCAACCAACTACGCTACCCCGTGCCCCATGTGTAGCTTATACGACTTTCGTTTTATGGGCACCTGCAAATACCACATAAAATGGACGAAAAAATAACTGTACAACTAGGTTTTACGACAGTAATTTGATCCAAATATTATTCACACAATGGATAAAGACATAACTATTGTTCTGAATCGTGTTAGCTTTGGGCCGCGTACTCGAGGTCTCGACAACACGCTTTAATGTTCTGTAACGTCAGCAATGTCTGCGCACAAACTCTTGCAGTTTAAACATTGCAGTCCTTAGATAAGGGTTCAGTTCGTACCTCACAGGAAACATCGCGCCTTCATCATGGCGAGCACCCGGCTGAAGCTATTCAGCCAGTCTAGCTCCAGAGCAATAGGCTCATATTCGACAGATGTTCGGTTCGAATCTCGATTAGGTTATCTTGACTGAAAATTCCCGTGGATTTTCTCAGTCCTTCCAAGCAAGTGCTGGTATACTACTTCCTTCGAAATCCTTCCAATTCGTCAGTCATCCTACCAATCGACACTGTTCGAGTCCACACAACGAAAAAGCCGCAGCAGAATACCACACAAAACAATTATGATAAGCATACAAAATGTGCATAAATACATTTTGTGGACACACTGCTATAATATTTTAGTGTTAAGGCAGGTGGTACACATAATTACCACTCACTATTAACTTATTAAATTGAGATCGTAATGTAAATTTCGAGAAATTACTGTCATGTGCTATTGCCACAGTTTGTTGACAGCATTATTGTGTGTAATGTAGCACAATTATACGTCATAGGCTTACAGATTTTGGGAGAATAATATTAAAATGAATGTTAAATACTATGAGAGTATATGGACTGGATTACTCTGGCTCGGGATAGGGAACGGTGGCGGGCTATTTTGAACACGGTAATGAGAATTTGGTTTCAATAAAAAGTTGAGAATTTGTTGAGTAGCTGAGCAACTATTAGCTTCTCAGTAAGGACTCTGCTCCATGGAATTAATCTCTTGTCCTCCTAGACCGATTTATCTGTTTTAGAGATATACAAATCCACACGAGTATGGAGCGCTTCATGAATATTAGTTAAGTTAACTTAATTTTTTTTTTGCTCTCCCAAAGAAAATTTGTAAAAGAAAGAAATTCCTCTTAGGAAATTCGGAACGCCACTCATTCGACAAGGAGTAACACGAGAACGGCCGAATGTATTTTAATGAGATTCTGTATTTAAAAAGTTTGTGCTCAACTTTTTGACATGCATAAAGTTTGGTTAAAATCGGCCAACAGTACCGGACACTCCACATGAAGGCCTGTGTACGTTTCTGCGCGCGCATCTCAAGCCTAACTCGCTGAACGTTTGTTGTTATTATTATTATTTATTTTAATTGCGAATGGGTTTTTACCGGTGGCAGTGTTGTTAGAGTAAGACACAACACACATCACACAAAGTAACACACCACGCTCAGAGAAGACACAGCACACAAAACTACACAAACAATAAAGGACACAGAATCATAAGGTTTATTTTGGGCTGTATCCATTGCCCGGATCTGTCTCCGTCCTCAGGTGGATCTCCGAAACGTTGCGCTTTTTTGTCTTATATATACCAGACGATGGATAGAGGCCAAAATAAACCTTACGGCTCTGTACAGCATACACCTTCAGAATCCTTTCAAGTCCAATAAAGGACACACTAAACACAATGAATACAATGAGACAAATGTTTCGGATAGATTTATAGAGGAAAACGGGCCATCTGTTTCTGTGTTCAGGACAGTTTCTTGATAAAATATTCTCCTCAACACTCTGTTCTCAAACACCCTCAGTCTATGTTCCTCCCTTAATGTCAGAGACAAAGTTTCACACCCATACGGAACCACAGGCAAAATTATAGTTTTGTATATTCTAATTTTTACGTTTTTGGACAACAGAGGAGAAGACAAAGTTTCTGGACCGAATGGTAGCAAGCATTACCTGAGTTCAGTATCCTCTTAATTTCCTCCTGAATCAAATTTTAATTTGTTACTGTCGTTCCCAAATATCTGAACTGGGCCACATTTTCAAAACATCTGCTACATATCTTTATGTCATGATTTTGCCCTGCATTTTGGTGACGAGACAGCAACATATACTTAGTTTTTTGTTGTTGGTTTATTCCCAACACTCAATATCTACTCTACAAAGCATCGAATCATTTGATGACTTGTGAATAATGGTTAAGAAAGGATTTAGAAGAAATCGATCATGGCTTTCTCGAGGTTTTATCCCGACACTTACTTATAGGGACCAGCGAAAACCATGAAATAATTCAGTCACTACATTTGGTGTCAGGATCGAGATTCGAAAGGAGTAACTCCCGAATACATTGCCGCTCATAGCAGAGAAGCCGTGCAAACTGTATTAACATTTCGTGTCTTATGAAAGCAGACACTGTCTCTGCACTTAGGATCAGCCGAGGGCAGGTATCCTTATCACACACACAGTCAGGCTATGTTTCACTCACCTTAGGTTTCTGCCAAGCTGACGGAGCCCGCGGGAACCCTTCCCATGTGTTGACGTCAGCACCGCAAGGCGTCCCTCCCAGAACTGTGACCGTCGAGGGCTGTGGCGCGGCCATAATGAGGAGCCAGGCGTGGTGGGAGGGGAATAATGCAGGATTCATTGCAACGTGGGAGAGGTCTGCAGGTCCTGCTGCATGGGTGGGGGGACATATCCTAGGAAGGATTCATCCTCTGAATGCGACGTTGCGTCCTGGAGAGGACGCCAACTCCTGGATAGGACGTGACCTCTTGGATAGGACACCTGGGATGTGCCCTTCTTGGATATTATGAGGGATCTCCTGGATAGGACGCGATTTTCTGAATAGGACGCGATCTTCTGGGTAAGACGCGATCTCCTGGATAGGACGCGATCTCCTTTGTAGGACGCGATCTCCTGGATAGGAGGCGATCTCCTGAATAGAACGCGATCTTCTGGGTAGGACGCGTTCTTCTGGATAGGACGCAATCTTCTGTGTAGGACGCGATCTTCCTGGTAGGACGCGATCTCCTGGTTAGGACGCAGTCTCCTGAATAGAACGCGATCTTCTGTGTAGGACGCGATCTTCTGTATAGGACGCGTTCTTCTGGATAGGACGCAATCTTCTGTGTAGGACGCGACCTCTTGGTTAGGACGCAGTCTCCTTGAGATTTCGCCACAGAGCCTGGCTGCCTCTTTCTGGTTTCTTGCTTAGGTTGTTGCGTTTTGACTCCGAATATGGAGGCAATATTTTCCTCCGAATCCTAGGTGAATTTCTACTGACCTTCGGGGTCAGGCGACAACATCCTTCATTTCACTTTCAAATTATTTGGATTTATATTCACTGAACACAGCTGAGGTACCCGTTTCCAGTGCCTGTCGGGTGTCCAGTGTCCAGAGTGAGCTTCGTTGTTTCATTCTGCCCATAAATGCAGGTTTCGGTATAGTTACTTAAATAGGCCGCAACCACTTCCTTGTGAGTTCTTAG